GATATTGCAGAAATTCAAACAATCATTAGTGGCCACTATGAGCAATTATGCCAATGAATTGAAAAATCTAGAAAAATGGACAAATTCCTAGACACATACAACCTACCAAGACTGAACCATGAAATCCAAAACCTAAACAGACCAATAACAAGGAATGAGATTGAAGCCATAATAAAAAGTCTCCTAGTAAAGAAAAGCCCAGGACCTGATGGCTTCATAGCTGAATTCTACCAAACATTTAAAGAAGAGCTCATGCCAATTCTACTGAAACTATTCTGAAAAATAGAGAAGGGACTATTTCCAAACTCATTCTACAAAGCAAGTACTATATTACCCTGATACCAAAACAAGACAAAGACACATCAAAAAAATAAAATTACAGACCAATATCTCTGATGAATACTCATGCAAAAATCCTCAACAAGCTACTCGCAAACCAAATTCAACAATACATTAGAAAGATCCTTCATCCTGACCAAGTGAGATCCCTGGTATGCAAAGACAGTTCAACATACACAAAGCAATTGATGTGATATATATCAATAGAATAAAGGATAAAAACCATGATTATTTCAATTGATGCAGAGAAAGTATTTGATAAAATTCAACATCCCTTCAAAAAACTGGGGATACAAGTAGCATACCTCAGCATAATAAAAGCCATATAAAACAGACCCACAGCTAGTATCATACTGAATGTGGAAAAACTGAAAACCTTTCCTCTAAGATCTGGCACATGTCAAGGATGCCCATTGTCTACACTGCTATTCTACATAGTATTAGCAGTCCTAGCTAGAGCAATCAGAAAAGAAAAAGATACAAAGGGCATTCAAATTGGAAAAAAAGAAGTCAAATTATTTTTGTTTGGAGATGATATGATCCTATATTTGGAAAAACCAAAAAACTATTGGAACTGATAAACAAATTCAGTAAAGTTGCAGTATAGAAAAATCAACTTGTACAAATCAGTAGCATCTTTATGCCAACAGTTAACAATCTGAAAAAGAAATAAACTCATTTACAATAGCCACACATAAAATTAAATACCTACAAATTAACCAAAGAAGTAGGAGATCTCTATACTGAAAACTATAACACACTGATGAAAGAAATTGAAGAGGACATCAACAAATGGAAAAATATTCTATGCTCATGGATTGGGTAGAATCAATATTGTTAAAATGTCCAGACTGATAGTGCCAGGAAATGGGGAAATTCTAGACAGAATTCAAGCCTAAAACCACGGCCCGAAGTGAGAACTTACATCCCTGTTTTCCTGCTTGAATGTTGCCTTTTCCAAAAGCACCCATGGCTGACCCTGCCCCCACTCCTGTGCCCATAAAAACCCACACTTAGCTGGCAGAGAAAGGAGAAGCAGCTGAACATCAGAGATTATAGTTGGATATTGGAGAGAAGTGGCTTGACTTCAGAGGGACAGCTTGATGGTACAGCTTTGGAGAGGAGTCCAGATGGGGACAGCTGGACTCCAGAGGAAGATTACCTTCTTGCTCCATCCTCTTTTCAGCTCCTCCTCCCACTGAGAGCCACTTTCATCAGCGATAAAATCCCCCAATCAATGAGGTTGATTCGTTGTATAACCTCATTCCTTCTGGATGCCAGACAAGAACTCAGGTGTGGGTGCAAAAGGTTGTCAGACTGACCCTCCAGTGAGCTGTTAATACTTAAGCCATCTGCGAACAGCAAAGCTAAAAGGGCACTGTAACATTCCTTCTGGGGCTTCAGGGGTTGTAAGCAACCCCCCAGATGCTGCTGTGGAGTGCACACAGTGTTTTGCTCCTGCTGGTGGCCGAAGGTGCTCACCCCACCTCCTATATTTACTGACCTGTGCTTCCCCTCCCACAAGGGGTAGAACACAGCAAGTTCAACTGAGTGGAATTCACCCCTGCCAGTGCCAAAGTGCCAGCTAGGTCCAGCACCTGTGCACTCCAATTCCCACTCACGAGGGGGTGAGGGAAATATCCTGCTTCAATACTACCCAAAACACTCTACAGACTCAATGAAATCCCTATCAAAATATCTATGACACTCTTGGCTGGGCGCAGTGGCTCATGTCTGTAATCTCAACACTTTGGGAGGCCAAGGTGGGTGAATCACTTGAGGTCAGGAGTTCAGGACCAGTCTGGCCAATATGGTGAAACCCC